CGACACAGCTGGCTTGTGAGTCTGAACAACCTTGGCACTTCAGCGGGCACAATCTTTCAGGGCTGTTCAAATCGGCATGCGATGTCGGCAAGAAGGAGAAAACTGGCAACGACAGGATCAGGAACAGGGCAGAGCGCATACTGTATAAATATTCTCTCCGCCAACATTCATACATCCGAAGAGGCATCTCGCGGGGCCCTGGTGGTACCTATGCGTTGTGCACCATGCTCTGCACATCGACTTGACAAGACTCGACGTCGCGAAAGCTTGCAACCTCTGACCTAGCCCACCGGGTTACTGAACAGCTGGGCCCTCATGTCAGGCCTCGCAACACCTTGTCCGAGGGAGTACTTGAGCCTCGGAATCAGAGCTTCACGCGCTGCGTGAGGAGAGAACGCAACCTCAATGGCTCTCAACGCGGCGGCCTCGAAGTTACGCGTCTTGTAATCTTCGGGCGCCCTGGGGATCGGGCCCAACAACTGAACAGCTCTGTCGAGCTGGAACAGCGGGGGCTGCTGGGACAAAGAGGGGGAAACATTGGCAACAACGTAGTCGTCTGAGCCGATTATCTCGCTCTGCCAACGGATCAACTTCTCAAACACCCCACTTGTTCGTGCAGCGCGATATCTTGCCGCCATGCATAGCTGCCGCATCTGCGGCAGGTGGAGCTTGATCCCCAAGCTCTCGAGATCAAAGAAGACCGCGCGTGGCACTGCGTGCCGCGGTCCGTTGGCGAGGAGCTGAAGGCACACGTCCTCCAGACGGAACATGGCGCACGGCGGCCCAAACTGCGCGACGAACTGCGCGACTGGGATCGCAGGGGCTTTGTAGCTGAGGATGGTTCCGACGAAGCCGAGACCGAGCCCGCGGATCTCCCCCGCCCGCCTTGCGAACTTAACCGTGGGATTCCTCCAACTCACCTCGTTCCCATCGCGACCGACATATACGCCGAAATACTCCCCATTCGCACGTATACATATGCTTCCAAGATCCACAATCTCGCAGAACAGATCTCGAGTATCAGACTCGGGACCATCTTCCATAAACACGATGACCGTCTTCTTACGGTTGAGATAATGACACGTGGCCAGCGCGCGCTGGATCAGTATGGCCAGCACCGCAGGGGCGGTCGCAAACAAGCCCCGCGAGCCGTGCATTACATCGCCTGCGAAGCCGCGCAGACACGAAACTGGCGGAGGAACTGCGCCGCACAGGGCGCGAGCTACAGGATCTGGGGGGGGGGGGGGGGGGGCGCAACGATCGAACCTGGGGCAGGGCATCCTTGCTTAATCCCCGAGGCGATCTCGAAACCAGGGGAACGCCCCCCACCACCAACACCACCACCACACACAATAAGAATACGATTGCCCGAGCACAGGATACGCATAGCCCGGATAACGCAAGCAAGGATTCCCATCGCCTGTAGAACTCACCAGGTCCATCCATGGTTCAAGGGTGGGGAAGCGGCCCGAACGTCCAGAAGAAGACTTCATGTGTCGCGTTCTCCAGAAACACAATGCAAGACCGCCAACTTCGAAGTGGCTTCTAACGCGCTGTCGTTCAAGTAACGACGGGGCACGCGCCCGCGCTGCGGTTCAACGCGCGAGAGAGACGCCTGTTTCGCCGGCCACCAATCAATCCACCCACAAAGTATCTTATCATCCGTGTTCCCCAGGCATATCGGCCGAGTCTCTGGCGGGCTGGAAACCAGCTCGTCGATGGACTCTGGGACTTCCCCCCTTGGGAAGGACAGCCGCTAAGCGCGCCGGAGCGTCGTCGCCCGCCTCGCCCGCGAGGGGCGCCTGACAAGCTTGATAGAGAATTCCTGGGCCTAAGTCCCCCACCGAAGAGTGACGGCTGAACGGGGCCCCGTCGGGGCCGGGAGCGGAATCTCCAGACTTTTTCAGCCCCTGCTGGCACTGTTCAAACGTCGCTTCCCACAGCGCGCGGCCCGATGTCCTCTGAAAAGGGCGTCAAACAAGAAGCCGGTTATCTCTGTGTCTAGGTCGGCTAGAATGAGCCCCGCCCCAACGCGAGGCAAGCGGCGCCGCGCTGTCGTCGACGGCGTCGGGAACAGAGCCGCTGGGGGCGTCCGTCCGCGCGCCCATCGCGCGCTCTCCGCGCCCGTTCCAACGTGCGAAGCTGCTGGGCCTGTTTGTTTTTGCGTTCCCGGGAAAGCTGCGGCGTCAAAAAAAATCCTTGACACCCTGCTCCACAAGCACCTCTGGAATACTCCTCGCCCTCGCCGTGAAACCTCCGCAATCCACCCGCGTTCCGCCCGTGCGGTCGACAAAATCGTTCAGCTCAGGCACGGCTCTGACAGCTTCATTTACAACGCGCGCGCTGTTCTGGGCCATCGCGCGCAGGGCGGCAAAGAGCCGCGAAATCAGCACTTGCGCAGCGGAAGGGCCGAAGAACCACAGACCTTCTTTAACGCGACGAGCCGCTTCGTGACATGTTAGCCCGCGGAACTGGGAAACAACGCCCTGGAAGATCGGCGCGTCGGCCCTCATGTCCTGCACGAATTCCAGAAACTGCGGCTTCTCAACGACCCGCGATGGAATCCTCGGGAACGACGACCTCCGACCTGGATTCAACTGGGCGCAGAGCGGGGCGCGGTCGCGCGGCATGGCGAGGTCGGTCACAGGCCGCGCCAAACCTGCCGCCGGCCTCAAACGTAGCAAGAAACCTGAGTCAAGGGATGTGTACATGCGATTCAAACGACACGCCTGCCGCAATTGCCCCTCCCGCTTAACTCGAAAGGTGCGCCATCTCGCACAAGAACGGAAAAAAGTGCTCGCGAAGAAGCTCGCAAGTTCAGCTCCAAAAGAAAGTCGGGGGCTCAAGGGCCCAGATAACGGAAATCGCCCAACATCCAACTAGCGTGCGTCGTGGCAGATTTTACCCGAGAGGCTACCCGTCGAAACAACCCGTAGTTCTGAACCAGCGAGAGGCTCGGGTTTATATGGATGTTACAGATCGAATCAGGATCGCCAAGCCACCGGCAGCTCGGTCGGGAAGAAACGCGCCCCAACCTCGGAGCGACTGGATACCAACGACTAGCAGGATCAGATCCCCACGACATCCGCGACGCTCCCGTCACACTTCTGCGCCAACGCGCTCGCGCAAAGAATTGGCCGCGGCCCTCGCGCGAGCCTGCGTCCGCGCGCCAGGGCGGAAAAAGGGGCCGAAGAGCGCGGGCGCGTTCCAGGTCGCGATGCGGAAGCGTCGTTTCGGAATGACAGGAAGAAGAGAAATGCGCGCGTCATCGTGCCCCCCCCACCGACCCATCCTAGGAAGAGATGTCGCAAGCCGAAGAATCCCTGGAGCTCGAAGACGACAAAGTACACGAAGAAGAGGAACAAGAAAACACCAGTCGGGGCTCCTGATCACCATGTTGCCCAGCCAGGTCGCGACTTCCTGCGGGGCCTGAATTACAAGCATTCGCTGGGGGCGGAACGTCCTACTGGTTGAAAAAGCCCAGCAGCTTGTCGATGTCAGCCTGCTGGAAGTTGAAGCTCCCCGAATCGCCCGTCGCCGCGCAAGTCATCCGCATCGGCGGTTCGAGCGCGAAACGAGAGATTATCCAGGTGTCGCCGATCTTGACGAAATAGAAATCATTACTGAAACCATTGGCGCCCATCTTGACAGACCTTCTAGCCTTCTGCACCATCATCTCGATCAGCGGAACCCAAAGCCTTCCCATCTGCCGCTGGCGAATCCAAACATCGCCAGTGAGGGCAGCACGGAATCGCACATCATGCACAGCGTTGTTGCGCACATCTTCCCATGGCATCGGGTCCTCAGTCATATAACCCTGAATGTCTCGAGCCTTCGCTGGCGTATCGAAGTGAGCGCTGTAACTCTGACTGATACGAGCGACCTTTACCATCATCTTCTCGGACATGTGCTGGGCAACGTGCTCCTTGAATCTGACGAAATGCGCCGCGCGAGCTCGGAAAACCACTCACCCACCTCCTGCAATGATCGCGGGCATCCCCATGCTCTGGTGACCCCGTCGGCGCCGTGCTTGCAGCCCGCGAGAACCTTGCTGGACGAAGCGCGCTGCCTACGGACCCAACAGATGCAACCGCCGTAGCCGCCTGCACCTCGCACTTCGTCGTGTCCATGTCGCGCTTGACGACCCCCGCGAACGTGTTGAACTGCGCCTGCAGCGCAGCGTCGGACTGGCTAGCACCCAGAGGGAGTGGAGCCAATGCCGCCTCGATGCTGACAACTCGTGCCTCCAAAGAGCTGATCTTCACAACCTCGCTCATGACGCGCTCGTGGTTCCCCGCCAGCGCCGCCATCTTCGCCTCCATTTTCCTGGAGGACTCCGCGCTCGTCTGCATGGCCAGGGCGATCATCTCCAGGTGCGAGAATGGGGCAACCTGCGTTGCTTCCTCGTCTACTTCGATCGAAATGCCGCTGCTGGCAGCAGCCGCCCCTTTGCCAGAGCCTTTGCCTGACATGTCTGAACTCGGGACAATATCTGGGCCACTGGGGGGTGCGATGCCCAGTGGTTGCAAAACTTGGGGTCTGTCCTCGGATCAGAAGTCTCCACTTGGTCCACAGGGGAACCTGGAGCCTTGAGCCAAAATGGCTACGGGGGAGAAGGGGAGGAGGAGGAGGAGGAGGAGGAGGAAGAGGAGGAGGAGGAGGAGGAGGAGGAGGACCTGCCCTTCCTCCCTTCCTCCCCCGTCGTGCCCATGGCAGTGGCGGTGGAACATCAGCCCACCAAGGATCGGGTCGGGCGAAAGGGGGGGATAGCAAAGGGGGGGTTTGAGAATCAGCTCACGTAGCTGATTTTCCCGGCGCCTCCCGGCGCCGGAGGCGGCTATGTATGGAGGAATGGGCCCCTCGGTGAGGCCGAAACCAGCTGCATGCAGCAAATTTCGTAACCCCCCCTTTCCCAATCCCCCCCTTTCGCCCGGCCCGAAAGGGCTCCCCCCCCCCCACCGAAGCCGCGGGAGCTCGACGGGCCCCCTGGCGCCCGACCTTTCTTTTCTCACCTCCCGCGGGCCGCGCGCCGGCAGGCCTCCGCCCGCGGGGAGGGGGCCAACGGGGCCCCTCCGCCGCGGGCGCATGCGCGCGCCGCACCGCGAGGAGCGCAGGGCCACGCGGCCGGGGAGGTCGGCGCGGCCTCTGCGCGGGCGACAGTGTGTAGAGTCTACAAAACCTAGGGGGCAAACAAACCTACCCCGCTTTTGACCACCCTCGCTTCCAAGAGATACCAAACGATGCCAAATTGCAGCCTGTACTGGTCAGGCCGCTTGACGAGGAGGCGCGTGGTATGGTTTGGTTTTGCCTGGAAGCGAAAGCGGGGTAGGTAATTCACGCTCTGATTCTACAAAGCCGTGCGCCTGTCGCATCGGAGCAGGACGGAACAAAACAAACTACCTACAGTCAAATCGGGCATGTCCCCTTACAGGCGGATTTGGGGCGAAGGTGGAAAACAATGCCCGACTTTAAAACTACAGTGCACGCGCGGTCACAAGAAACCACCGCGAGAAACACAACCCTGAACACCCACTCCGGAGGTACACCTGAGGGAAACCTGGAACACCCTGAAGGCAACAGCTTCTGAACGGCCGCAGGAAACCACCCGCGCAGCGCGAGGATCGAAGAAACCCAGGGCACCCTGGCGAGAAGCCTTTGGTCTCTTGATGCGCGCCTCCACTGTACTGTCGACTACCGCAATCGCGGATAATATTGAGGGGCTCGTGCCCCGGCGGCGGCCCCGGCCACCGGAACTATCAGGCCCGCGGGGGCCTCCAGAGGCCTCTGGATGCAGCCGGAAGCCCAAACAGAACCCCCCCAAACGCCCAAACCTGTCCTCAAGCCTCCCCTCCCACCCCTCCTCGATCCTCCTCCCGCCCTTAGTGGGCCCTGGAAACGACAGGGCCGTTTTTTTCACGGGCCGTTTTTTCACGGGTGCCGTTTCGCCGTTTTTTTGCCGGTAACGGCACCGTTTTTGTTACCGGTTCCGTCGCCGTTGCTTGACTGGTTCCGGCCCCAACTCCAATCCGGGAGCCGTTTCTTTGCCACTTCCAATCGCCGTTTTCTTGCCGTGCTCATTTTCAAGAGACGCTTTTTTCGGAAACGGTGAAAAACGGCCCTGCCGTTTTCGGGGGCACCAAGCTCCCGCCCCCTTCCCCCGCCCCACACACACAATGTTTTACGTTCTGCTTGTGGCCTTGCTCGCGCGGCACTTTTGACAGACGCCCTTGCTGAAGTAAGGAGTGCGGCGTTTGGGATCTCGCTTTCAGGAATCTGCTCGACGCCTCCCCCGCCGACCTCAATCATGCCAGAACAAGACTGGCTTGCCTTGCTATCGCCATCGGGCGTACAACGCGCACCGCCTCCGCCAACTCACACACAAAATCCAACGTCAGAACATTCCGTTTGCAGTGTATGCTGGCGCGGCGGTTTCGCCAAGTACCAGCTCGCGGTGAACAATAACTTGCCAGCATCCTCCTCCTCCTCCTCCTCCTCCTCCTGCTCCACCTCCTCCTGCTCCTCCTCCTCCTGCCGATGTCCGCCGATCCGATGCAGTTCGCTCGCCGATGTCCCGGCTCGGCTCTCCCGAACCGTTCTTGACGCGAGCGCTGCCCCCTCGGGGCCGCGCAGCCCAGGCCCGCTGCAGGCGCACTGGGGAGCTCTGGGGGCCACGGACAGGCCACTGCTCGTGGCGGGCGCCCCCGGGCATGCGCCCCGGCGCTCGAGGGCAGCCCACGGAAGCTGAGGCCGCCTCGGTGCGCAGCACGCAGGCCGCAGGTTGCTGCCGCGGAGCTCAACGCGTGGGCTGGAGACGTGGGTCATTACCAGCCTCGAACTTATCACCATCCCTAAGATTGACACGCCAAGAAGCGATGACAATCTTAGGGGTGCGCCCTCAAACAATAAGGGAATCCCTAAGATTGGCATCGTTATGAGGAGATGCCCAGCATAGGAATAGGGATATGTTCCAGGCTGGTAAGGTCAGGCGCGATGCGCTCGCCAAAGCGTAGACCAACGCGTGCCGAACCAACACGCAGCGTGACAGCGCGGAGCTCTTTGGCATGGCACGCGCTGCGTCTCAAACTTGTAAGCCCCGGTAGGGTCTGCATCTTTGCGGCGAGCATGGGGGCCCTAGCAATCCGAGCGAGGCAGCTTGAAAGCCGGTTTTTGGCGAAATTTCGCGGCAACCGGGAGGATGGCCGAGGTTTGGGGCCGCGAGGATGGCCAGGGTGCTGGGCCGGGAGGATTGCCGAGCTGGTAATCTGCCACAAGGGGCGCAACCGTCAAAAGACCCCCCCAATGCTTACAATTTCAAGCTGGGCGCGCCAAGGCAACCGAGAAGAGAAACCAACCGCAAGCGCAAACCGATGCACGCCAAGTCTACCGTGACCGCCCACCTTTTGATGCGCGCCGCCGAGGGGGGGTCCTGCCAGCCTCGGCCGAGGGCACTTCACTTTCGAGGGAAGCCGCGCGCGAGCGTGCATTTCTTGTGATGAGGGAACGAATGAGAGAGAAGAAGGGAGAGAGAGAGAGAGAGAGAACAAAAAAATGAGTGAAAGAGTGAGAGAGAGAGAATAGAGAGAGAGAGAGGCAACAACAAAAAGAAAAAAAACGCGAGAGATGTATTATATATTTTTTATATACTAGAACCACGCGCACGCTTCGCGCGCGCTTACGTTCTACCCTGGCGCGAGTATCGGATGCGCCGCGGAGCGAATGAGGTTGGGAGCGGTTGCAGGAAAAGCTGTGGATAACTGACTCACTGAGGACTGCCAGTCATATAATCCAGCCACTGGCCCTCGTAGACATCGGCCCTCTCGATGAGAAGGAGCAGTTGCAGCATGAGAACGAGTAGCTCGCGGCCAGAGCGTGAATGTAACGACTGAGAAAACACCATCGAGCCTCGATCGTCGAGCGCCGATAAACCGTCGAACGCCGATGGACGACGGATGCGGCGTGGGCGAGGACGACAGAGAGGTCAACGACGACAGACGACCACGACGACTACGACGATGACGATGACTACGACGCAACCCTGCCCTGCGAGCCAGCACCGGAGTAGCCGTGACCCCCCAAGCTAACCCAATCGCCTTAAACAAAGATTCAAAAAACAGGTCTCGCAGGAGCCAAGACCAGGGTAGCCGTGACCCCTCAGGCTCGCGGCCAGAACGGGAATAGTACATCGGAGAAAACCCACCTCGAACCTCCATCGTCGACCCGATGACCGACGGATGCAACGTGAGCGACGCCTGTGGGGTTGTCTTGGGACCCTCTACGGGGCCTCCGGGACCGAGCCCGCGTGCACCGCCACGAAGCGGAGCGCCGACTGTCGGCTCGAGGAGCAGAATGAAAGCGACAGGGTGAAACATTATCAGCCCTCCTGCTGTGGGCCTTCCTTCGTTTTGAATAAAGCGCTCTGGTCTCCAGTCCTCCCGCCTCCCTCCCCCTCTTCCCTTGATGCTTCACAACCAGGAAACGATACAAGTATAGGCCTCACATATCCTTGTACGGCGCGTGTGGAACAAAGGGCGGGCCCCCCTGCGAAACATGGTGTGCTGCCAGATGGCACGAACGGGCCCCACCCCAGCTCCTCAGCCGCGAGTGGGTCTGTGGGGCTCCCTGAGCGGCAATCGCTACAATTGGATGTATGGAGTCAGCTCCTGTAGTCACTGATAGACTTACTCTGCTGCCACATTACTGCTGGTACCTCGGGCTGGCCCGAGCATCCACAACCAACAATCTGGCAACCATGGGCCCCCTCGAGCTTCCAATGGGGCCCCATCCAAGCTCTTATGGCGGCCCCACCTGTGACAACAGCGGCCTTCGATTAGTGCATCCACCAGGACCAGGATCCCACTACCATCAGCAGGGTTCCCACGAGGCTCTTGGGCATCCGACACCCTGGGCTCTATCAGAGGTTCCACGGCCGCTGTTCCCACCCAAGGGACACCTATCAGACTCTCTGGGGCAAACCTCAAGACGGGGCTTTCAAAACCAGTCATAAAAAAACCTACCTGCCACGGATGTGTCAGGGACTTGCAGAGTCTATTTGCGAATCATTCGCCGCGTGTTTGTCATGAGCCAGGTGCTGAGGAAGAGACACACTGTGACGACAGAGTACGACTCTCATCACTTGACGAATTGTTGGCAAGACCATTTACCTGTTATGTACGCGACGTGGATCACAATTCTTCAGAAGCGCCCGATTTTGCCCCAACCAGAAATAACAACATAATCAAACGTGCAAATCCTGATATCGCCAGATTCGTGGACCCCCTTTTCAAAGACGGACGTCATCCTCTTGTGATCCTACTCCTGCTCCGACTCCCGCCATTGAGGGCCCCCTTCTTTCGCCCTAGCCCCCTGGAGGCCTCAGACGAGAAAACATATGTTGGACCCTGAGATGTCCTGGCGGTGGGGGTCGGGCCCCGGGGGGCGTATACACACAGACCAGTACATGGGGAGAAAGCACCAGCATGGCCCGTGGGATCTGTTTGTCGTGCACCTGTGACATGCATCTTGGAAGCCTTTCGGGGGCTTCCGGCGGCATCTTGGGGGCCTCCGGGGCGCTTCTTGGAGTCTCCTAGGGGCTGTTTGGAGCCGAAGGCTCGAAAAGTCCGTTCGGATTCCATGTCCGTGCCCCTTCTAAACGCCGTTTTGGGGCTATCTTGGACCGTCTTGGAGGTCTCTTGGGCTGATTGGGTCCCTCTCGGCTGTTTTGGGGCCGTTTTGGGAGCCTCTTGGGTTGTCTTTGGGCGATCTCGGGGGCCTCTTCGGCTATCTTGGAGCGTCGTGAAGCCGAAAAGGTGAGAACCACAAAAAAACATCAAAAACCTAGGAAAACAAACAAGCATTTGTTGCCTCTGGTGGCCCTCTTGAAAACGCCTCTTGGAGGCCTCTTGGGGCGTCTTGGAAAACGCTTGGGCCGTCTAGGGATTATCTTGCGCGTCGTAGACCGATCTTGTGGCGTCTCGGCGCCCTCGTGGACAGCTTGGGTGCTTTCTGGGGCCGTTTTGGAGGCCTCCTGGAGGCGCCGGGGCCGGGGGTATGAACAGAGGGGCGGGGTGGTTTTGAGGTGGGTGGGGCCCCCGGGCTGGGGACCTGGCACTCATCCATACAGTCGGGGCGTTGACCTAAGGAACCCTAACTAGGGAACGGGGTCCCTTTTCTCCACAAGTTAAGCTCCATTGCGCATCGAAAACCAAAGGAAAACCGAAGGCAAACTGCAAAACAGCTTAGGAACACTGAGCCCCTCCCAAACGAACAGGGTTCCCTCTTCAGCGCCCCGACTGTATTATATATACACAAGACTGCATTGGCGCTTCGCGCCATGCGCGTGTTCCGGACCCTCCCCGGCAAAGCAATCAATCATCGCTTGCCTCCGCGGGGGGGGCCTCGAAGCCTGGACGGGCGACTGGCTCGGCTCATTTTTCTGATACTGCTGGTGCCTGCTGACATCGCGTTCGCCCGATGCCTTCACGCTTGTGCGCAGGAGTGGGGAAAGAATGCAATTTTTTCACGCGCGAAGGTCCTTTGAGGAAGTAAAGGGCGTTCCCATGACACGCCGAAGAAGCCGCAGCAACTCCGAGCAAATCGATTTTGGTCAGCTTCCTGAATACCTGGAGGGCCCCAGGCACTCAGGAAATCTTCGATCGTCGAACTTCGAATCTAGATCCATTGCAATCTTGAGCCTCAAGCGTGGAACCAAGATCGTCGGGTCAGTTCGATATATGTCGTAGGACAACGTTGCCTGGGCGTTGTTGGTGCTCTTTTGGGCTGTCCTAAGGCCGGCCCTCTTGGGCCGTCCCGGGGCCTCCTTGGGCTGTGTGGCCAGAGGTCTTCTGAAGTCATCTAGGGCCCTCTTGGGGGCCTCCAGTGGCTTCTTGGGGGTCTCCCATGGCTTTCATGGGTCTCTCTTGGGAGCCTTCTGGGGGCATCTTGGGCTTCTTGCAGGCAGTCTCGGGGCTCTCTGGAGCAGTCTTGGAGCCCTCTTGGGCCAGCTTCGAACCCTCTGGGGGGCCTCTTGGGCCGTCTTGGGGCGATATCGGGGGGCCATCGGGCCGTCTCGGACGCTGCGAAGTCCCAAACAGCAGATATGCTCAACTTCTACATTTTCCCCGAGGAATGGGACGATGTTTGCTTATTCGGGGCTCTCTTAACAACCTCTTGGGGCGTCTTGGGGGCCTCTTGGGCCGTCTTCAGACCATCGAGGTTCCTCTTGGACCGCTCTTGTGCTGTCTTGTGTCTCTCTTGCGCCTCTCCGATGACCCCTCTGGTCGCCTGATCGCCTGGGGGGTGGGGGGCCTCCAGGTAATAGAAATGAATCGTGGAGCTTCCCTGAGAACGAAGCGGCGAAGCTTGAGAGTAATTCCGGCGCGCTGGCGGGCTAGTTGGCTCCAAAAATCTCGGCGGATGTTTTGCATAAGTTCAGTCGGATAAAAACCATTTTCTTGAAATTCAACCATTCGTTTGAACTCTAATATGTTTCCCCCATATTCGATCTTGCTCCCGCTCGCCATCTTGATCTCACGTCGATCGGGTGACTACTACTATCAAACAGCATTCAGGCGGGATCGGTTGTTGAGAATCATCTTGGCAGATGCTGTCGGTTTTCTGAACTTCACTCGAACTGCAGATCAGCTACGGAGCCGTTCGGCACAGCATTCGAAAAAGGGAATCGTTAGGAGCGCCAGTTTGAAGTATCTAGATGCCTGAGGTCGGTATACGACCAGGGCTGTTACCAAACAACTATTCGTACTCTGCACTTCTTAAAGTTATGATGTTCGTTGTCTCCACTTTATTCGAGCTGTAGGCTTGCTACGGAGCTGTCTAGCGCATCTCCAAACAAGAACTCACCAGGCACATCTGCCGACAGTCTCGAGACGTCTGAAATCGGCCTGCAACCAAAGCCGCGAAAGAAAAACTATTCGCACTGTAAGAATTGTTCGATCGATGATGTGCGTTTCCTCAATTCAATTCGAGCTGTACGCCAGCTACGGAGCTTAGATGCACACCGATCGAAGGACATGCTGAGAAGCATCAGACTGAAGTATATAGACGCCTGAGATCGGTCTGATACGAGAGCTGTGACAAAATGATTAGTTGCACTCTTTCATGTTTGTGAGAGACGGTGTTAGATTTTTGTATTTAGTTCCACTTGTAGGCAAGCTAGGCAGCTGGGAAGCACACCGTTCAACAGGAAATCGTGAGACACAGTAGCCTGCAGTATCGAGACGTCTGAAATAGGTCTCCTTACAACACGATTCGCACTCTGCACTCTTCTGGTGAGAGATGTTGTTTACTTGCTGTACTGAATTCGAGCTGTAGGCTAGCTACGGAACTGACATCTACACCGATTGACAGGAAATGCTGAGAAGCGCGGGTCTAAAGGCTTTAGACGGCTGGGATCGGTCTGCTACCAGAGCTGCGGCGAACAAACCATTTATGCTCTTCATGTTATAGATGAGCGGTGCTGGTTTTCTCTACTAACTCGAAGTGTAGGCAAGCTACGGAACTGGGAAGCAGACGGTTCGAATAGAAATGATCACGAGCGCTAGTCTGCAGTATCGAGACGTTTGAGATCGGTCTGCTACCAGAGCTGCGACCAACAAACTGCTTGTGCCGTGCAAACAGCTACCAAGCTCGCATGCTATACACGTGACGAGAGCTTCTTAAGATTTGCAAAACATATGGAAATATATGTTCAGCTGTGTACTTTCTTGCGCGGGTGCTTGTCTCAACTGAACTCGAGCTGTGGACACGCCAGGAGCTGTCCAGCACATTTCGATGAAACAGCACACCCTCGCGCGCGCTGAATGCAAGATTGCCGCGCTCGCATACCATCCATATATATATATATATATATATGTATATGTATGTATATCTATATATATATGCTTGCGTATGGCAAGAAGCTCTACGAGTTCCCGGCGGTAGCCAAGGTTGACGGTTTACCACCGGCTTCCAGTATAAGAGTAGGAATGCATGGAAAACACAAAAAGAAACAGAGAGAGGGAGAGAGAGAAATAAAAGAAACAAAAAACCGGAGGGATGAATAAAAAAGACAGTCAACCAACGGATCTCTTCGCAACGCGGCAAGCACGGCCAAACAAACCAGGAACGCCGCGCGAGCCGACCCGTCCCGATCGAGCTCGCGAAGGTACCCGCAGCCCTGGAGACACGATCGGGCGAGCAACGCGTGCAAGGAACCCTCAGGGATGAACACGAGGGTTGAAGGAGAGGTGGGAGAGCCATGATGAGGGGCTAGCAGCGTGGGCAGCGGTGTATGTCACCATCGGCCGAAACGGCCACCAATCGACCTCAACGCCAAAGAGGAGAGAGCAAGGAGGATAGCAAGAGGCATAATGAGGGAAGAGGACAATGCAACACACACACACACATATATATATATATATATATATATATATATGTATATGTATATATATAAAAATGGTATTGCAAGGCACATTATATGCACATGCACACACGGATTGACAGCCAGCGGTAAAATTTGACACTGCGTTACCTCCGCTGCGCCGCATCTGACGGGCACGATCATCGGCACCGTCTCACTGCTGCGCACGCAGCGGGACCCAAACCTTGCACAAAGGGGAGCTTCATCGACGTACACATCGGTCATTTCTAATCGCGCTCATTTCTAATTCTGCTCGTTTCAAACTGTACCTGGCCCCCTAGTGGCCAGGAAGAGGCCCAGGATAGAAGAATTAGACATGAGAGGATCTTGGCCCCAAACAAAAAAAACAAAGAACTTTCGAAGACTTAGAGATGAGCAGTGTGTAGAAAAGATGGGGCAGGCGAAGACAGCCGACGAACCGCCCTCACCGAACGGGCAGTGCGAAGGCGGCCCAGCACAGCGCAACCGAAGCCATCCAGGGGCGCAGCCGGCCGGTGCAGCGCTCCCGCGACGGACCGCGCAGCACGGCACCCCGCCAGATCAGAGGCTATAGATGGATGGGCTCCGAGCAGATGGGGTTGGAGGATCGCGCCGCATCGCCGATAATGCGGGATGACGATCACTCAAAAAGTGGGAGAGAACGATCAAAAAATAGTTTTCTGCTATTTCTGCACAATGTTCTGACTGGAAGAGAACGATTAAAAAATAGTTTTCCAGCCCGCGGGCGTTTTTTTCTAATCGTCATCCTGGGCGCCGCCGCGTGAACACGACCCCCGGTCATTGATTAATCGTCATCCTCCATTACGTCGGCGACGCATCGGCGCCGTCGACGTGGAGAAACTCTGAGGGGCAACGATAGGGGGAGGACTGGCATATGGGGGGATGCATCGGCCCGGAATCGGCGGTACACCGCCACTAGACTGGCGATAGGCCCCCGATGACGAATCCGCACCTCCCTGGGCAAGTTGGGGCTATCGGGCCCCTATCGGCGACCAACGGGCGATTGGGGGTCCATGCATAGAAAAAGAAAAAACACATGAACATGAAATGGTGGCGCTCCACGCGGATTTCTTGAATTCGCGCTGACCCCCCTCCCTGGCGCGCGGAGCGCGCCGGGGGCGGCGCCAGAGGCGCCGCCGGGGGGGCCCAGATCCGCGGGGAGCGCCAGAAGGTTATGTTTGCGCCGAATTCTCTTCTTCGAGCGCATCCCCCCCTTATGCCTAGTATCCCCCCCTACCGCTGCCACCGAGAACATCGGACTCCACAGCGAGTCGCATCGCCGGTGCACCCGCGATGCCGCGGGGACCCCGCGGCCACCCGCCCGACCGCCGCTGCGCGTGCCGCCGCCTGCCTGCCTGCCGGGCCGCCCTCGTACTGCGCATGCTCTGGATCTCGGCGCGGAGGCGCGGCAGCACCGCGCTCTGGGCCCTACGTCGTTAGGCAAGCGCGCTCCACCACTCGCAAGAGTACTCGCAGAAGGCCTGGATGCGCCACGGGGGCTTTGGCGATGCACCGCATCGAGGCAGGCGCTGGTTTCTCGGACGTCTGCGAGCAGAGGCACTCTGCGAGCCGCAGGGGACGCGCACGGTGCTGCGCGGGGGGGGGCGATGAGCGGGGGCCGGGGGGGGGGCGTGCACCTGTCGTGCCCCTTCTGGGCCCCAGGGGGGGCCCCATGCAGAGCCCCTCAGGTGCACTGGGATGACCGTGGGGGTTCCTAAGTGGATAGGGGGGCTACAAGTGGATGCCAAGGTGGGTTATATCTGGCCCAACCTGGCTTATAAGTGGGTGACAAGTGCCCTAAGTAACTTAGGAGGGTTAACGATCTGGGCTAGGTGGGCTCCGCCCACTTAGCCGAGTTATCGACCCCTCCTAAGCTACTTAGGGCACTTGTAACCCACTTAGAAGCCAGTTTGGGCCAGATATAACCCACCTTGGCATCCACTTGTAACCCCCCTATCCACTTAGGAACCCCCTACGGTTATCCCAGCACAAGCCGTGCACCTTCCTTGACCCCCACCCTCCGATTCATATCGCCCCCCCCCCCAATTGCGCAACACCCGGCCGCGCAGGCGCCGGCCGCTCCTGGGTGAAGCTCGCCGTGCCAGGTGCTGGAGCCCGCCGTACCCTCCGAGGCAACCCTTTTGCTGCGCAGCAGCTCGATGACCTCTAATCTCAGGCAGGCCCCTGCCATCTCCGCCCGTGGCCGCCTCGAGGCTGGGCAGGCTGACACCGTCACGTCGCCAGCGGGCCAGACTGGCCGAGAAGGTGCCCTGGCGGCAGCCAGGTGCGCACTCGTGCGGGCCCGCGCCTCCTGCGAGGCCTCAGCGAGAGGCCAGGAACCGCAGTCTGCAGCTCCTGCAGCTGCGTCTTCTGATGTTGCCTTCCCGTCGCGCCCTGCTGACTCTCTCAACTGCCCGTCGTCCGACTCCGCTCGCGAACTGTGCCAAAATCTGATGGAGAAGTGCCGGCGAGGAAAAACACGCACCGCAGGCTGTGAACAACAACAGAGCTGTCGTCCGTGACCCCGTCGCGGGACCCGCTCCGAGCCGCCGCAACTGGCTCTCAGCCGGGCCCCGCCGCTTTCCCCTGGGTCTCTCCCGTGCGCCACGACTCCGCGCCCACACCACGAACGGGCCCCACTGGCCTACCACAGACTGTGGCGAGAAGAAGACGAAGAAGAAGAAAAACGTAACACAAAGGACCTAGTGCGACCCCAATCAGGGATCTCACGTCTTGCAGCACGACTCAAAACGATGCAATCCAAGTCACTGGTTGGCATTACTTCGCGTTGCTGGGCATTGCTTGGAATCGTTGCTTGGCGATGCTTAGCAATTATTTGCTCGGTGCTGCTTGGCATTACTTGGTGTCTCTTGGCCTTGCTTGGCAGGGTTTGACATCGCCTGGCGTCGCGCGGCATTGTTGGAGTCGTTTGGAACTGCTTGGCATTGTTACGATCAGGGGGCCTAAAGAACAAGACCGACAATGCAAAGCGCAAAACCAAAGAGCCCGAACACGAAAAGCAAACTACAAGACTGGGGAGACGAGAACGGACCATATAATCCGAAAGACAAGACCAAAAACCCCGAGAAACGCCTAAACAAAACCAAAACCAACTAATCGATCAACGCCGGGGGCCGCCTCTGAATTAGCGCTCCGTACCCACCGATTGTTTCACATGTACGAGTTCATCTGGCAAAGAACACCTGGGGAGAACAGCCCACACGCGATCGGCATAAACATTACTCGCGTGGACAGAAACGATCCTCCCTAATATTGTACAATGGGCCGCGCCCGCCACATCATTCCAGCACGCCGCGCTCCTCCGTTACAAGCTCGTTGCGGCACCCACACGTGGCGCTGTGGCGGTACGACGGATCTTCCTGACAAGCGGGGCTGGCTCAGGCATGCGCAGCGGCTCTCTTTGGCTTTTCCTTCTCTACCATTCCACTCGTCGTTGAATATTATCCCTGCCTGCCCTTGTCTGACTGCATCCTGCCTGGGTCCTGCTTCTCTCCCTCCTCCCTCCCTCACTAGCTCCGTCCTGTCCCCCCTCCTAGTGCTGCGTCTCTTCCGCTCTCTCCCATACTGTCCTCCGTCCTTCCTTCCCCGTCTTTCTGTCGGCGTGTTCCTCCCACTCGCTCGCCACACGCTCCTGACGCCTTCCGTTGTCGGTATCTATAGCTGTGCGGAGAGAGAGGGGGGGTGGGGAAAAACGCCCACACAAAAACATAGGGGGAGAGACACGATGCTGTAGGACTAGTTTGCTGCTCCCTGCGCCAGTGGCACTTTCAAGTCTGCAGAGTTGCAGCCCTGCGTTCTGCTCCCGCATGTGACTTGTGAAATTCCGCGCGAGGGGGGGAGCCCCCAACGGGCAATGTACCGCCCTCGGAATCGCGTGCTCGGAGCTCTCGGGGGGGGTGGGGCAACCCGCCCGTGGTACACGTGAAGAATACGTGAGACTCGCGCCCCCGAGGCCCTGCTCTCTCTAGTGAGATCGATCAAAGAAGGGGGTCTCCTTAATTAGCGCCGCCCCCCCACAAGGCCAAAATGGGGCCAACACCCTAGCGAAACCAATGATTGTGGCTTTCTCGCCGAGGCCGTGTTGGACGCCCTGACCGCTCGCGGGGCGCCCCGTCCAGGTCCAGGGGTCCAGGGGAGGGGCTAGCGGGAGGGACAAAACCCTCCTCGAAAGGGAAGGAAGGGAGGTAGAAGAGGGAACGCTCTAGACCACCAACGCCCAGCGGACTGGTGGGACTCCACGCGGCTTCCTTGGATCGGCGCTGACCTCGCGGGCGGCAAGCGTCGGTGGCGGCGCCGCCAGGGGGCTCCGATGCCGCACGTTTATGCGTATGCAGTGTTTGGGTTCTTCGACAAGCGCGTGCTCCTGTAGGAGAAGGAGGGGGAGGAGGAGGCGGAGGAGGAGGAGGGAGAGGATGAGGGGGAGGAGGATCTGGAGCAGGAGGGAGGAGGAGGAGGAGGAGGAGGAGGAGGAGGACAAGGAGGAGGGGAGGAGGAGGAGGAGACGGAGGAGGAGGAGGAGGAAGGAGGGAGGAGGGAGGAGGAGGAGGAGGAGGAGGAGGAGGATTAGGATCAGGAGAAAGAGGAGGAGGCGGAGGAGGGGTAAGGAGGGGAGGAGGAGGAAAAAGAGGAGGAGGAAGGAGGAGGAGGTGGAGCAGGAGGACGGAGGAGAAGGTGGAGGGGGAGGAGGAAGGAGGAGGAGGAGGAGGTGGAGGAGGAGGAGGAGGAGAGGGAGGAGGAGGGAGAGAGGCAGCAGGAGAAGGAGCGCTACCAAACGCAGTCGCGGTCGACTCCTTCTGGGCCCATTCTGAACTCTCCGTGGCCGCTCCGCGGCGCACGGTCCCGCGGCTGCCCCTCCTCCTCCTCCTCCTCCTCCCCTCTCCTCCTCCTTCCCCTCCTCCTCCTCCTCCTCCTCCTACCCTCCTCCTCCTCCTCCCTCCTCCCTTCCTTCCTCCTCCCTCCTCCCTCCTTCCTCCTCCTCCTCCCTCCTTCCTCCTCCCTCTCCCGCCCTCCTCCTCTCCTCCTCCTCCTCCTCCTCCTCCTTACCCCTCCTCTTCCCCCTCCGCCTCCGCCTGATGCTGCTCCTCCTCCTCCTCCTCCTTGTCCTCCTCCTCCTCCCTCCTCCTCCTCCTTGTCCTCCTCCGCCTCGCGCGTCCTGCGTCGAGACCAGCTTCTGGTGAAGAGCGTCGATGACGTGGTCGACGTGACTCCTAGGCAGGGGCGGCTGGCACGCAGTCAAAGCTACGGGGCCGAGGCAGCGTCGCTCACCGGCCACCCGGAAGGACGTGCCCCAGGAGACCTCCAACACTGCCCGACCCGACCCGACGGCCCAGATGCAAGCACACAAAGGCCAAAGGACCCCCCAAAGGCCCGAATAGGTTCTCAAGAGGCCCCAAGGGGCGCGCGAAGAGGCCCCCAGCCAGGCCCTGAAGGGGCCAACGCCAACGAAGTACTGCAGGGAGCTGACCGTTCCGCTGCTGGCGAGGCCTCTCGGCCTAGGACTGCCTCGGGCAGGCTCCGGAGAGCCCCGGAGAAGCCCCCCCCAACGCGGCACAGGACTGCCCCCCAAGGATAGCCCCAAGGCCCGAGAACCTCCCAGGATGGCCCGAACAACGTGCCCAGCTCGCCATCCCTCAGACGTCCTTTCCCCGTGCTTGTTTTGATGTCGTGCGCGCTTTTGTTTGCCCGACGCTCCAGGATGCTCCCCGAGGGTCCTCGCAGGCCAGGCGGCCACGGGAGGGTCATGCCGAGCCGTCCTGGCAGAGCCCCCGGCAGGACCCTCGCGCCCCAAACGGCCCCGAGACCCCCCGACGGGCCCCGGGAGGGCCCGAGAGTGCCCAAGAGACCCCCAGTACGGAGCTCGACCACGAGAAACCTTCCACAAGAAACCCAACCATGAGACCCCAGGACGTCCATTGATTTTTGGTGTGGGACCGTCACGAAGCCTCCGAGGAGCCCCCACAAGTGACAAAGAAACAACCATTCAACCCTACAGACGCGACGCGCTGCAGCGTCGCAGTTCTGCCTCCCACCAGCCCCCGAATAATTCTTGTTGGGCCTGTTCGGGAGGCCTCGGTAGCACCATCTACGGGCCAAGACGCCTGAGGAGCCCTGACCTGGACCACCAGGACCTGGATCTTCGCATGGGCTACAGTCAACCAGTATAGTAAGGATGCGCGAGAAGGATGCAAGGGCCTTGGGCGCCCTTTTCGAAGCTTTTCGAGCGGGGCGCGGCCAGCGAAAGCGGCAAAGGATGGACCGAGGAGGCAAGGATGCAATGGTACCCTTGGGAAGATTGCCCATCCTTACTATGTGGGTTGGCTGTAATCAGAAAACCATTCAGGGACATCTGCATCAGCTTGCTGCCCCTCGGCCAGGACCCACAAACGAGCCCTCGACGCTGGACCATGACTCATGGCACAGTCATGGACCTGTACCGACCACAGACATCCCCACGACCTCTCTCCCGCCCTCCCGTGCAAGAGGGCCGTCCTCACGTGCTCCCGGAGCTCGATGATGTCCATGATGTTCGCGGTGACCGCGGTCCTGGCGCGATCCCCAGCTCAGCCTGTCCTCCGCCTCCGCCGCGAGGGCGACGGCAGGACGACAACAGCATCGCGACGATGCAGCCCGTGAGCTCCCGAGCGGCAGCGGCAATGGAGGGTGCATCGGGCGCCGCGGCCGCTCCGGACGTCAGGGATGATCCTACAGCGTCTGCATCGCGAAACGAATCTGGTGACCTGCCAGACCACCCCAACCCAGCCCAAAGACCCGAACTTCGGGTTGGGGAGGTACGGGCTTGATGTGTGGCTTTTCAATGTCTCCCGACCCCGTAGTAGTAGTAGTAGTAGTAGTAGTAGTAGTAGTACTAGTACTAGTAGTAGTAGTAGTAGTAGTAGTAGTAGTAGTAGTAGTAGTAGCAGTAGTAGTAGTAGTAGTAGTCAGTAGTAGTAGTAGTAGTAGTTGTAGTAGTAGTAGTAAGTAGTAGTAGTAGCAGTAGTAGTGGATAGTAGTAGTAGTAGTAGCAGTAGTAGTAGTAGTAGTGTGGTAGTAGCAGTAGTAGAAGTAGAAGTAGAATTAGAAGTAGTGGCAGTAATAGTAGTAGTAGTAGTAGTAATAGTAGTAGCAGTAGTAGTAGTAGTGGTAGTAGTAGTAGTAGTAGTAGGAGTAGTAAGTTAGTAGTCGTAGAAGTAGCAGTAGTAGTAGTAGTAGTAGTAGTAGTAGTAGTAGAAGAAGTAGAAGTAGTAGTAGAGGTAGTAGTAGTAGTTAGTCGTAGAAATAGTAGTAGTAGTAGTAGTAGTAGTAGTAGTAGTAGTAGTGGAGTAGTAGTAGTAGACAAAAGAGTAGTAGTAGAAGTAGTAGTAGTAGTAGTAGTAGTAGCAGTAATAATGTAGTAGTAGTAGAAATAGAAGTAGTAGTAGTAGTAGTAGTTAGTCGTAGTAGTAGCAGTGGTAGTACTCGTAGCAGTAGTAGTAGTAGTAGTAGTAGTAGTAGTAGTAGTAGTAGCAGTAGCAGTAGCAGTAGCAGTAGTAGTAGTAGTAGTAGTAGTAGTATGAAGTAGCAGTAGCAATAGCAGTAGTAGTAGCAGTAGTAGTAGCTGTTGTAGTTATAGTTGTAGTTGTAGTTGTAGTAGGAGTAGCAGTAGCAGTAGTAGTAGTAGTAGTAGAAGTAGTAATCGTAGTGGAAATAGCAATAGCAGGAACAGTAGTAGTAGTAGTAATAGTAGTAGTAGTAGTAGTAGTAGTAGTAGTAGTAGTAGTAGTAGTAGTAGTAGACGTAGTAGTAGTAGTTTGTAGTAGTAGTAGTAGTAGCAGTAGTAGGTGGTAGTTGTTGTAGCAGCAGTAGTAGTAGTAGTAGACGAAGAAGTAGTTGTGGTAGCAGTAGTAATAATAGTAGTAGTAGTAGTAGTAGTAGTAGTCGTAGTAGTAGTAGTAGTAGTAGTAGTTGTTGTAATTGTAGTAGTAGCAGTAGTAGTAGTAGTAGTAGTAGTAGTAGAGTAGGAGTAGGAGTAGGAGTAGTAGTGGTAGTAGTAGTAGTAGTAGTAGTAGTAATAGTAGTAGTAGTAGTGGTAGTAGCAGTAGTAGAAGTAGGAGTAGAATTAGAAGTAGTGGCAACAGTAGTCGTAGTAGTAGTGGTCGTCGTAGTATAGTAGTGTAGTAGTGTAGTAGTAGTAGTAGTAGTAGTAGTAGGTAGTATTAGTAGTAGACAGTAAGTAGTAAGTAGTAGTAGTAGTAGGTAGCAGTAGCAGTAGTAGTAGTAGTAGTAGTAGTCGTAGTAGTAGTAGTAGTAGTAGTACGAGTAGTAGTAGTAGTAGTAGTAGTTGTAGTAGTAGTAGTGGTAGTGGTAGTAGTAGTAGTAATAGTAGTAGTAGTAGTAGTAGTAGTAGTGGTAGCCGTAGTAGAAATAGCAATAGCAGGAACAGTAGTAGTAGTAGTAGTAGTAGTAGTAGTAGTAGTAGTAGTGGTAGTAGTCGTAGCCGTAGTAGTAGTATCTTGTAGCCCTAGTAG